GACAAGTAATATTTAGTTTATTCAAATACATACACTTTTTCTATTTGCTTTAAAGAAGAAAACATTTTATTTACAAAAGAAAACAAAATAGCTCTAGAATAAAAGCATATAAATATGTAGAAGCTCCTGAAAGAATCACAAAACTTTTTGAAGGCAAAATTTTATCGGAGATTTTAATTCTACCAGAATTGTTACAGGTTGGCCTCATTGTTCTATTCAGAATAGCAAAATTAATAAGGATAACTTCAGAGACAAATTTTCAGTATTCAGTAGAAATTTAACTGGGCTGATGAGTTCCAATCAGTCTTTTAAGATGAGAAATGTTTGTACAACTAGGAAGATAGTGAATTAATCATTCTCAAAATCCCTTGAAACAGGTTAAGTCCTCAAGTACTCAAGTCCCAAATTGTTTTGCAGTTTGTCCAAAATGCTGTCTCTTCAAAGACAAATTTTGTATTGTACAGTGAAAAGTCATCAGTAAAATGCATAAGCAGCAAAGGGAGCAGAGGTCCAATAAGACCATCTTGGTCCTTTCTTGCCCCTACCCTCCAAAGAAATGCATTGGAGTTACTGGGGTGTAGAATCTGAGAACTTGCTCCTGTTTCCTTTGCTTCAAGTCCTGTGCTGTTTCCTGCACTGGGACACAGCAAAACTGTAAAAGGGATTGTTGTCTTCACTATTCTGGAGTTATACATGGCCCATAGGAGGAACATCTGTGAAATGGGAGATGTGAGTTCAAAAGTTCATCTTATGGAATGAAGATGAGTTTCACAGCCATAAAGCAATGCTGGTGGTTAACTGAACTTCATCAGGAAACCCTGTAAAAGTGAAGGAAGCTGGAGTTTAAAATTTGCCCCCTTTTCAGCACTTCAAATTGACTGGATTAGACTTCTCACATGTGTGTGCTGGATAATAGGAGTCTTATTTGGTCATTTGCATTTTTATTCTTGTTTAACATGTTAGAAACTTTAATGTTTAAAACAAGCTTGCAAACCTTAGTCTTTGAATTGGAGATTCTACATAGTAATAGAAATGGTCGAATTTATAACTTTATAACTTCTATATTCCAGTATACTAAGACTTAAACTAATTAGTTCTGAGTAGAATAATTAAGTCAGCTACAGCACAAAATAATGCTGTATATCATGAGGTGTATTGAATAAATAAATATGATGAAGTGTATAGACAGCAAGATCTTATTTGTAAAACATGTAAGCATTTTTTAAGATGTGTTTGGCATATAGAGGATTCATTTTACCAGAAAGGATCTCTGCAGAATAGGAAATTAGCAAGATACCTTATTAAAGGCTGAAAGGAAATGAAATGATTTCAGATATGTTTCTTTCACTGTTTCATTTATTCTATGGTTGCATGAGTTACAATGTTTGTGATTTTACTGATAGCTGAGAGCAGATAGATGTAATTCAGTATTCACAGAAGCATATTTTAAGTGAGGCATAAAACTTACCAGAAGTTCTTTATCATTTTAAAGAAGATTCCATGTATCTTTGATTTTTTTTTAATGAAATATTCACAATAGTATTATCCATTGACCAGCAAGACAATCAAATCTCAATTATTTATGTTACTATTGTTCTCACCCTCCGAATTTCTGCAGCACATTTTTCTGATTGCTCATTTCAATATGAGAGAACCCACCAGACAACTTTGTGTTATAAAAATATTGTAAATTTGCATTGCAAAGAACAACTACAAGAGAAAAACACTCAGTGTCCTATTCAAAGTCCATTTAAATTAGTGGATAGTAAAACTGGGCAAAAATAAGGGTTTTGTGAAATAGAAAAAGGAACAGTTTGCTAATTCCCTTGTTAGATGGCTAAACAATTGAGGAAATACAGAATGTATTTCTCTGGTGTTTGGAAAACAGTGTGGTAATAATTGAAGAGTTTTGTTGTATGTAATTTTCATGCAAGTTTTGTCTGGCAGAAGATTTTCTTTAGATTTTGTCCGCTTGTTTCTAATATTAGTGTGTTGGTTGTGCTCAAACATACCAACTGAGATCACATCATTGTGTTAGGAGGTATATAAATATACATTAAGAGACAGATCTTAGTCAAAAAAAGCAAGTTTGAAGTCTAAAAAATGGAAACAGAGGCACAAAAAAGTATCTTTCTGAGAGTCATACAGAAGGCTAGTGGAAGGTAAAGTTCTACCAGCCAAATTTACTGCTTTCTAGACCACTGTTCTTGTGAGACACTACCTCTCTGAGTTTATAAAATCATTTGAGCTACACAGCTGATAAACATACACAGACAATGTTAAAAAGATGCTAAGAATTATTTAAGGACAGATACAGCTTTTTTGCTGGATCTTCACAAAGGTGAGCACAGTACTGTTCCATGTAAAGTTTTCCCAACAGAAATGGTATTTGCACACTGCGGATCTTGGCAACACAGGAAACGCCAGTTATTTGACTGCATTATCTTTTAATTTTATTCCTAGCTCCTCTGCTATGTTAACTTTTCAGTTTGGGTCATTACGCTATTTAAGCTAACATGGTGATGCTATTGTCACTTTAACTCCTGTGTAAATAGAGGTATATGTAAGATTATAGAATCGGAGAATGGTTAGGGTTGAAAGGTCCATAAAGATAATTTCATTCCAACACCCCTGCCACAAGCAGGGACACCTTCTACTAGACCAGGTTACTCAAATTCCCATCCAGTCTGGCCTTGAACACTTCCAGGAATGGGGCAGCCGCAACTTCTCTGAGCAACTTCTTCCAGGGCCTCACAACAATCACAGTATAGAATTTTTTCATAATGTGTAACCTAAATCTGCACTCTTTCAGTTTAAAGCCATTATCCCTTCTTTTATCACTACTTCTTCTTATAAAAATTTCCTCTCCAGCACTCTTGTAGTCCCCCTTTAGGTACTGGAAGGCTGCTATAAGGTCTTCCTGATGCCTTCTGCCCAGGCTGAGCAAGCCCAACTCTTCCAGTCTGTCTTCATAGGAGAGGTGCTCCAGCCCTCTGATCATCTTTTTGGTCTCCTCTGGACTTGCTCAAGCAGGTCCACATCCTTCTTATGTTGATGTATTTAAACCTGCTAATTCTCAGATAGTATCAGCAGTCTACTTTATACCAACATGGAGATCAGTGTGGATAACATTTATGTTTTGTAGGTGTTTTCTCTTTAAATTATTATGGTACCAATCATATTATATGACTGCTCATAGTGTTCATCTAAACTGCACATAGACATGACTTCAACACGCACAATCTGCACAGCAATCTAGAAATATTCAGTGTTGAGTCTGTTATATGTTAAAGCTCAGAGGCTTTTGGTAAAGGCAGTTTTCCTGTTTTTCCATGATGAAATTTGTAATGTATACAGTATCTTGTGTTTCCAGAATGTATTTACAGTTTGTAAACTTATGCAAAAATGTGCTCGCTCTTGTTTTCTACAGTATTTTGTCTGTTGTGATATGAAGTACACTTTTTTTGTCTGAATGTTGTGATATGAAGTAAACTTTCATATTAAGTTATTAAACAAGTGAAAGATATTTGACTGGTAGCTTCACCGCATGTAGTTCGTTTAATAAAGCAGACTGCTTGCTACGACTCAGGAGAACTGCCCACACATCTCCATTGTACGTTCTAAACTGAAAGATAGGATTTGGATCCTGTGTAAGAGAGATGGTCAAAGTGTGGATGGTTGTGGCTGTGGCCATTTTGTTCCGGAATTATGCAGAGTTAAGTAACAATGGCTTCTTTTTTTTGTCAGTCTAGCTTACTAGAGTGTAATAATTGATTTTAAATATGAAAATTGTGGTAGTTAGTGTCAAGCTTTAGGTATCCAGAAGAGAGGTCATTATTCCTTTTCATCCTGATAAATTAACTGAGATTTAACTGTGAGCAGTATTTAACTGGATCCTCTTCTTGCCTGAGCTGTTACTGTGATGTAATCAAAAGTATGAATAGGTTAAAAAATAGTAACATTATTCTTAGCTGAAAGACATGGCCTATATTTGACTGCTATCTAAATGACCTCCTCCTTACAAAACAAGTTTTCACTATTTAGAGGTATGCATATTTTTTATATTTCTGTTGTCTCATGCATCTAAAGAGAAAGTAGCAGTAACATATGACAACTTCTTCCATCTCATATATGGAGGGACCTGCTGGCAGGTGGAATTTGCAAATGTTTTAAGAAAATTATGTTCATTTCAGAAGTGTGAGGCTAGATGAACACAAAAACGATTTTTTTTGTTTCTTTCCTTTGCCAGATCTTTCCCAGGAATAATGGGGATATTTCTATTTGAGATACGCCAGGATGCATTTAGATTTGTGACATCAAAGGAAAGCAGCAAGCAAATTCGTGTTCCTATAATTAAGGAAGCTTGTTTTCATACTTTTTAATTCTAGGAACATAAGGCACTGTCTTCTCTCCTTTCTTTCTTGCACTGAATTAATAGGGAAAATTGTTCTGATAGAAACATATTGATTCCAGTAAAGAACTGTATGTTACCTGCCCTGCACTTTTCACAATGGTCAGTTATATTTAGCTGGTGAGAAATGTGCTCTGGCTGACACCAAACAAAAGAGGATTGTCTTTCATTTTTAGAATTTGTTCTCTACTTGGCCTTGAATGTTCATTTATTTTACATAAGGTAATGATTCATTCTCTTGCTTTGCAGTTTCTAGATGGCTAGATATTTAAAAAGCCAATACAGAATTTCTAAGCAGAAATCCACATATATGATTACAGTAAAGCTCCACTATTACAGCATTGTATTAAGAGACCTATTGGTATATTTTACATTTATAAAAATAGGAAGTTTGATTTTGACTTATGAAGAGTATTTTAAAAAGCGCTACCTTGGTTTTAATTGATAATAATATCTAGAAATTATAAATCTTCTGTTTCTAGATACACCCTAACTGAAAAATGGAAAGTGAATTATTGCTGAAAAAATCATCTAGAGTCAGGGTTGTCTGTATGCTTTGAAACATAATTCTCTTTGTTCTTTATTTAAGGGTTAAAGTCAAGTGATCCAACCATGACCGGCAAAACACAGACCAGCAACGTCACCAATAAGAATGACCCAAAGTCCATCAACTCCAGAGTCTTCATTGGCAATCTGAACACAGCCATTGTCAAAAAAGGCGACATTGAAGCGATCTTTGCAAAGTATGGAAAAATAGTTGGTTGCTCAGTGCACAAAGGTTATGCGTTCGTACAGTACATGAGCGAGAGGCATGCAAGGGCTGCAGTGGCAGGAGAAAATGCCAGGATCATCGCAGGGCAGCCACTAGGTAAGAGTTTATCCATATTGTTGAAATATTGCTTTTTCTTTCCTTTCTATTTGAAAAAAGATCTGTTGCTGGTGCCTTTGATACTAGTAAGTTTGTTTTGCCATTGTTCAATCTAAGCATATTTCCAGGGTCTTGGATCTGGCACAATTTTCAAAGTATTAGATATTGCAAAATGTTTAGTGCTAGAAACTTCTGATTTATTAAATAGATCATTTCCGACTGCTTTATGCTTCTCTGTGTAATCCCATTACAGTGAACATGATTACTCATGTGAAGAAAATATAAGCATTTTCTCTTAGACTCTAAAAAGTTAATTTATTGTAATATAACAAGACTTGTCTAATAGATGTCGTTATCTTGCATTTAATGAATCTAAAATAATATCCAGCCCAGGGGTGTGTCAGATGCTATGCAGAAGCAAAAGAATGAGTTTTGTTAGTCCTTGAAATTGTACCAGTCAAATTGTAACACTGTTATTCATCTAAAGAATTTTATTATTATAAACTTAGGTTGAACTTATTCCCAAATAATGTTGCGGACACCATTCATCTGAACTTCAAATTAAAAAAAAAAAAAAAAAGCAAAACAAAAAAAAGCATAACTTTTTTTTCTAGGGCTTTGTCATGAAAGCTTATATAAGATATGGTTGTTACTTATTGCAGGTGTCACCCCTGAAACCTATTTGCAGTTATATATGGAGGCTGACAATGATAAAATCATCTGGAGTACAGTACTAACCCTATCTGTCATAATGATGGACAGTACAGCAAGATGTTTGGTAGGAGCAAGAGATCTTTCACTAGACCTCTGAACTATACTGCTGAGATCCAAACCTGTGTGTGTAATGGCTGTGTCAGGAAAAGGTGAAGGGTAGCTAGTACTTTGGCTGTAACAAGTCATAAAGAATGGATATGGCTTATTCATTTTCAATTTTTCAGGCTGTGTAAATCTATTTTTCTGTTTATTTGCAGAAATTGAAGTATTTGTGTTAGATGGGTTGTTCTGTCACAGTTGTTCAACGGTAATTTTAAGTTTTATAACCCCTGTATTTTGGGTTCAGAAAAAAAACAGAATAAAGAATTTCAATTACATTTTAGGGGAGATTACAACTTTTTTAGGAAAAGTTATATATATAAGTGAAATAAAAGAACTCAAGTGATAAAGACAAGGCAGCAAAGTCAGTCTGTGGAATGGCATTATTAGAAGATATTTCCTGGAGCGGTGGTCTCTGAGCAATAGGCCATGTAATGCCATCAGTGCATTAGTTACAGCTCCTTGCACACTGCTCTGACCAGATTTTTTAAACTGTGTTTTCCTAAGGCAATAGATCTGTTACTATTATGACTACTGTTGCTAGTTTCTTTTAATATTTCTTACAGTGTCTATAACATGCCAAGTGCTTTGCACATGGAGATGCCCTTGCTCTATTCAGAGTATGTTTGTGCTCTATATAAACAGTAAGTGAAATTGTTGTAAAAGAAATTAAGGGACCAACAAATACTTGAATTGTTTATTTATTTATTTTAAATAATAACAGGAAGTTCACTACTAAGTTTCAACTGTATAATCTTAAAATGCATTGATTATTCCGCATAGTCTTGTGATGGAATATTTCATGGCTCAATTGTTGATGTATCAGGGAATATAAAGAATAAGAAAGGTGAAATTTGGTTTTAGCTGTTCAAAACTTCATTTACTCTTTCTGCATATGAAATACAGTTGTTATCATTATTGTTTCACAAATATAAAAAAAAAAAAAGTAAAAGTGGTACTTCTCATTAGATAAACTTTCTATGTATTCTTTTTATTAGCAGTAGACATTAACAGTTGCCTCAAGATAATGAGCTGATAGATAAAATTTCCTTGACATTACAACCCAGAAGAATAACTTATGTGAAAATTGTGCATTTGAATGGAAAGAAGTAATGGGTAAACTCATTACTGTGAAACTATTCAATGAAAAATGTCTTTGTTTTCTGTCCTGAGAGCCTTGTATTCTGAAATAAACAGAACACACAATTTATATAAATAGTCAAGGTACTGAAAGTGGGCAAGAAAAGTCTTCTACATATGTGCAAATAAACTTGGTTAACATAGCTGAATTTTCTTTTAAATTGAATTAGAATATATTAATGATATAGTGGGAGCTGAGTGGTATTCAGTTATGGAAAGCTGTTTGAACAAAGGAATGTTTGAAAAAGATTGTCCCATAGGAGATGTCTGATACTACCATTAACTCTAGTACTCAGTACCTCACAAAAGAAGAAATCATTTAAGACTGCATTATTAATCTACATTAGGATTTTTGTGGGTTTGGTAAACTGATCATTTATGCTGGCTCCTATCTTCTATGGAGTTCTGCCATTCAAAATTATGATATCCTCTTCCTCAGTTTTACCAATGAGTCAGAAACTGTTCACATGTATGTTACTGAAATTAAAAATTGAACCTGTAAATTTCTATAGCTATATACAGTGTTGCACAATTCACTGAAGGTACTGCCTTAACGTCCTCAGACAACTCTCAACCTCCTACAAATAGTTTTGGTGGCCAATGATGTGTAAAGTCAATGCTGTGGGTATTATAACTACAGGGAAGTGGATTTCCTGAGTTTTGCGTTTATTTCCAAGTTTTCTGTTCCATGAAGTGCAACATGCTCTGAAAAGTTGTGAGGAAGAGATCATTAAGAAATACAAAAAAAAAAATGCATAAAAATTTTACTGGTATCGTTGTAAAGTTCAGTGTAGTTTCATGAAGTATTATTATCTTTTATGGGAATAGTATGAAGAATTCCTGACAAAAGGGCAAGAACAGATCAGTACTGGGCACAGGAGTCTCCTTCACAATGATTGTTGTAAATTGTGAATTGCATCATGCCAAAGCCAAGAAAATGTTCAAGTTCACCTAAGACAAAGCTGCAAGTTATGTTCCCAAGTTGTGGAACGTTTCTACATAATCTCCTCTCCTGTATCACTTCAAAAGCTTTTCATCCATTTTAATACATCTACAAATCAGGGAACATTTGCCCATATTTGCCTCTTTGCCACGTAGGGCAAAGAGCCAGGGTGAATAGAAATCATTCTAAGGAATTATCAAGTCTACCTATAACCTTTATGAAGGGTGACTTCACCCCTCTGTGGTGAAAGGAGGACTAGAAACCTGCTTGCTTCAAAGTAAATTGTGCAAGTCCCTCATTGCAGCAGCGGGCTGAGGAACAAGGTTCAGCAAGAAAGAAACTTTTAGGTATGTGATGGACAATACAGTACTTCAACTGATGTTTTCTCCTGCCTTTGTAATTCTTCACAAGAGTCACAGCAATGCTATTTAACTATTTTATCCATTCCAGCATACATGAATTCTGTGAAGCCAAATACCATGTAAAAGTCATTTAATGTTCCATAAATTTATATTACCATTTACTGTACTGTCAAGACACTTACTTATTTAGCAAATACATTTTTCCATCCAAGATTTCCACCTAAAATCCTGGTACAGCTATCAGAGCAACTTCTACAACATAATGTCCCTTTGATTTGCTTGATTTATAGTTCATAGCCTTATATTTTATAATCATATGACCTTTTTTTTTCCTCTTTCACACACGTTTTTAAACCAGCAAAATTCCTTTAACCTCAGAATATGTTTTGATTTGCACCCAAGCCACTTCACAGGCACCTTGAAAAAACAAATTAAATGTGGCAAGGCTGGTACTTTTGGTCTCTTCTGTGACTTTCTTTTAAGATACCATGGAATTTTGTTCTTGGGTACTGAGAAAAATGGAAAAATACCACAGTACCAATATCACGAAAGACACTAGTCCTTCTGTTGATGCCCTTTTTAACTAACAAATTAGTTCCACTGTAGCTTCAATCTGGTTTTGTTGCTGTAAGTATTATTCATGTAGTTTTGCCTTTAGGTCCAAATTAGATGGAGTCTCTGAGTACTGAGTGCATATTGACATGTAGCCTAAAGTAAGATAGTGGTTGCAGATAATTATTTTGGGTGGCATACTCTATTGCACATCCTTTTGAGAAGCACCAAAGCCCTGCAGGGGCTTTCTAAATGATGGCTATCCAGTAGAAAACATCCAAGGAGAAAAGCAGGTAATAAAGAGAGCCTTTAGAGATACTCAGCATACACCTTTGTTGTAAACTGAATTGGTGTGGCAGTAGGGCTGTTTTTGTTTCCCTTGCCTCCACTCAAAACAGATCTTCTATATCTTATATCTGTAATGTCTAGCAACACTGACAGATTACCTACGTATTTTCAGATCTAGGATTATCCAGAGCAAATCAGTTTTTCACCTCAATCTGAAACCCAGACAACAGTATTTATTTAAAAGAATTAATGCTATTTTAGTGAACTCATTCATGAAAAATGCAGTTTGTCTTGAAAAATGACATATTTATCCAAATTTTCTTGTGACTAAGCTGTTTTAAACCATGGTACACTGAGGAAGGAAATTCAAAACTGAATTAGTGATTATTCAGTTTTGACTTTGCCATGAGACTTCAGTCAATAGCGCACAAGTACAACAATCATTTGTATTAATGTACCTCACAACGTACTGAAGCAATGTTGTTACTCTTCCCATCTACCTCCAGCTACCATAATGACAGGATATTCCTGTTCAGGATAACAGGAAAGCAATGCTAGCTTGTTTTAAAGTGTATAGTAGAACAACTTGAAAAGTGGTTGGTTTTTTTTTTGCTTGTGGAAAGTATGTAAAGTCTTGTGTTTTAATATACATCAAAACATCCTAGACAAGGACAATGGCTTTTAAAGAAACCCTAGAGTTTGTACTGATGCAATGAAAAAGTGGGAATGGTTTGGTATTTTAACATGCATCTTAATAAGAATTTAAAAATAGCAAATATTATATAAATATAATAATTTATTATATATTCAAACTATATTTTAAGACTCATGCTTTTGAAAGATTGAATAGTGCGTGTTCACATTACTGGCCCAGAAAGGAAAATACACTTCACAGAAAATTC